TTAACATTTTAGCTTTTTCTTCTGATTTTTGATAGTCATATCTATACATGTAGATATACATACATATTATTTATACAACTAGATATGAATTATCATTCTTTTCATGAAAATGCTTTCATGTCATTAAACATTCTTGAAAAACAAGATTTTAATGGCTGCATACTAGACCATCTTGTGTAGATGTACCATATTTAACCTATTCCCAACAGATGAACTTTTGGATTTTTTTTTCATATGTACATGATTAGTGGTTATTTTTATCTAAGAAGCTTGTTTGAGGGGAACAAATTTATGCACTAAAGCTAGAGGGTGGTGGAAAGGTGGGGAAGTGGAATATAGGCATATCATAAAACAGCACCCATCTAATTGTCATTCAACATACCCTGCTTTTCCCAAATGATCCCAGCCTTGTGGCTCAATCCCTTTCCCAAGTCCAATCACCTATATCCTAGGTTCGACCAAACTTGGGGCTCTATTCACCTTCCCAATGCCTCCCACACTTAGTCAAAGTATTAGAGTAAACTAATGCTCTGACCATACTTCATAGGTTTCTAGCCCCAATAACTCTCCATGATAACAGAAATCTAAAACAGTAATCTCTTTATATTTTGTATTGATCACCCCATTGGTTTAAAAAAATTAGCATGTGCCTACAATATATATATATAGATGTGTGTGTGTGTGTGTGTGTGTGTGTGTGTAAATTGTTTATATGCACTGGTATAGAATATTTTACATATACTAAAAAGGTATGCTAAAGTGGAAAATTTAAGATGATAAAAATAATGGAAACATGTTCTGTTTTTTATGTGTTTTTTTCCGTAACCCAATGAATTGTCTTGCACATTTCCCTTTGGAGACCAGTGACTTAGGGCCACACCTAACCATAATGCCACATCTGAGCTAATGAATTCATATATTAACCTTCTGGAAAGTGTTTTGACATTTGGTTCCTTATAAACGGAAGAAATGGCTCTCTTATGGGTTCACTCATCTGCATGTATATAAGGACTCCCTGCACTTGGCTTCTGGCCCCTCCCTTCTTTATTGAAAGAATATGTGTTTCTGATTAACTTGTTAACCTAGCATTTTTAGATTGGAAGATAAGTTGAAAATATAGATATGAATGAATGTGTTTGAATGATATGACTAGATTCCACGTTCCCCACCTTTCCACAACCCTCTATACCAGTGGTTCCCAACCTTTTATTGACCATGCACCATCTAAGCATCTCTAAAATCCTGATGACCTCTCCTGCGACATATAATTCTTATTATTCAAAAAGTGAACTCCTATTCATGTGGAAGAAACCTAAAAGGACATTAACTCGGTCTAAACAAGTTCCAAAGAATATGGTATCCATGAAAGAGGAAAATAAAAGAACGAAAGTACAGTTGAAGTACTGAGGAAGAAATCACTAAATAATTGTTATAATAATAATAATATGAAGTGATATGAAAGAAAAGCAAATAAAGTTTCAAAACACATAATAGAGAACTGAAATGCATAAATATGTCACAATATATATTTATATATTGTATATGAGGCCCCAAGAATCATAAGAAATGCCAAAAATTCACTGTTAATACCTCATTCTCGAATTGCCCACCTGTCGGGGGTGTGCCCCACGTTGGGAACCCCTGCTCTATAGCTTTAGTACATAAATTTAGTACAATAAGGTGGGTGCTGTTTTGTGGAACATTTACAGCTGTGGCCTAAGAGCTCAAGGCAGAAGAAGCCTAATGGATTTAGGACACCTGAGAAGAAGGAACTGAGGGGGTAAGAGCCCAGGAGCCTCCCAAGAGCACAAGTTTAACATACCCATCACTCAGCAGCTTAGGCAGTTACCTAGAGGGCTTTGAAGTAATGGGACACAGGATAGACAGGTTTTCAAAGGGCCATGGTAGGGAGACCTGGCTAGCATGGGATATGAATGAAAGACCCACAAGCCTAAAAATGAATCTTGAAAGAAATAGCCAAAGGTAATATAGGAGCACCCTGACATTAACTTTTCCCCACAGTTTTGCAGACAGTCAGCTTTGCCTAAACAATAGATCTCATCCACAGCTAATCCTGGCATATCTAGGTAGTTATTAGGTGATAAAGGGCAACTCTTAAGACATCAAGTTTCTTTTCTCTCCCCCACATGAAAAATCAACATATAATAGTAAGAACAATACATTTAGAAAAAGCAAAATAGGGCCATTTTTGCTTGTGTGTCTTTTTCATTGTGTAACTCAAAGTTTATGTAAACTTTTAGAAAATATTGTTCTCTGGACATTTCTAAATGTTCAGTTCCATCTCTAGTTTAAAATGTCCTTTTCCCAATACATTTTGTTAAGTAAGATGTACATAACTCCTAACGTAGCCCTGATCCATTCACAGTCAATGGTGAAGGCTACAGGTATTTCTGAAAACATAATAAAGTGGCAGAGAACGTCAGTTAACCACTGAAGGTGATGCTGAGCACAGGAGTCAATGTCTCTGTGAGGACAGTGAGTTTGTGATGAGTTCCGGCACTGACGATCGCCAAGGAAACATTGGGAAGGTGACACGGAAGATTAAGACCTTTGCAGACACAGTGGACATTGTGGTCCTGCCCACCCCACCCCATAAAACTGAATTTTCTCAGGAAAGAAAAACTGTATCCCCACACCCTATCTTGACAAGGCATCTGCACACACATTCTCCTTAGGAAGTGGGCAGCTGGAAGCCAATAACTGTTTCTGAAGGCGTGTTTCCAAATGTGTGAGGCTCTCTCTCTGAATTCTGACTGAACTTGCCCCCTCCCACCTCAAAATATGCTCTCAGCTCAAAAGTTTGACAAGATCAAATAACCAGAGCTATTTAAACATTCTACTTTGGATAACACCTTCCAAGATAGTTAACAATTCTAACTTGTTTAGACTCTTCCATTCCTCACCATGCCCACCACACACACACACACACACACACACACTAGAAGCCAGGAAAATTCACCTTTCTCCTTAAGCCACCCCTCCTTACCGTTCACATGTACCCTCAACTTAGAGTCAAATTCTAGGTTTGGGATTGTTACCTTTCCTTAATCCCTTAACAGCTGCCTCTCAGTGGTCAAGCTAAATCCATTTAGCTGTTTGACTTGAGGGTCTTCTGGGTGGAATTTTTTTTACAAAATAATTCTTACTCTTTAGAATAACTGGTAATAATGAGAAAGACTGATGGACATTCATAAATGGTTATAAGACAGTTCCTGTTCTATGCATTATTCATTTATGCAAACTGTTATGAAGGTACCAAATTCACTGTGCAATTGGGCTGGAATTGGACTCAAGATGGCACTGGTATGCATAGTTCTGAGGCTTGGTTCTATTTAACATTTTCATCAACGACCTGCTTAAAGGAGCAAAGAGCAAACTCGTTAAGTTCCTAGATGGGAGGGATGGCCAGAACATCAGAGAACAGGATTAGAATTTCCCAGCCCTCGCCAAATTAGCAGAACTATTGGAGTCAAATATGTGTATTAGGGGAAAGTAAGTTGCCAAATGCTAGCTGAGTAATAGTTACTTACTTAGAAGCAACTGAAAAGAATATAGGTGCAAACATAGACTAGTAGCAGGAAATAAACTCACCCAGTAGAATCATTAGTGTTCACTGGGACCTTTGCACCCCCTTAAAATGGATTCAGAACCCCAATCCATGGGCTGTGGAAGCAGAAAGCCTTCCCCCAAGAATTCAAAGAATTCTAGTGAGCTTTTCTTTCTCATTATCCCTCTAGCTTCAAATCCCTGACTCCCCGTAATTAGCCTGGCTTATGATTCATTTCACTGCCCTGCTCTAACTCTATGGAAAACTATGTTGACCCAGATTTGAAAACCTTTTCATGAGCCAATCATGGCCTCCTGCAGAAAGCCATGGCTCTCCTGCGCTGTCTTGGCTCTTGCTCAATCTTACAGTTAAACTTCTACTCCAGGTTATTTCACAAGGTATTTTCCTAAATGCAGATAGTTTTCTCCCTAGAGGAACTCTGGGGTCAGCTGTTAGTAACATTTACACCCGTGTTACCTAACAAAGGTGAGTAACCCAGAAGTGCTCCAGCCAGGGGCCAGAAAACTTTGGACAGTAAGGTGACAGATAGTAAATATTTTCTATCTCTGTTGCGACTACTCTACTCTGATACTGTAGAATGAAAGTATTCATACACAGTATGCAAACAAAAGGGCATGGCCAGTTTTGGCCCCGATGGGTGCTGGTCACAGTTTGCCAACTCCTGCTATACTCAGCCTCAGAACCTTTAACTTTTGGGAAGATTTTGCAACCATCTTATCCAATCATTTTACAGCTACAGAAATCAGGACTCATCAAGAAGAGTGAAGTTTACGCGAGTTCTCAAGGCAGTTAAACCAGGGTTACAACTCCAAACTAGAAACAGGTAGCCCAATTCCCAGGCCAGTGCCCTCACCTCTGCAAAAATCACTAGGCTATTTTCAGAAGTTTCTGGGATACCATGTAAATGGCAGAGCCTCTTCTGGAAATGTATCCACTATAACCTTTGGCGCAATGCTTTAGTCGTATTATGTGTAATACACAATAGTGTTGTGGTATAATATCCCTAGAAGGACCCACCATTCGGGATTGGAAGCACAAAGCCCCTTTTTAAGTGTGTGTCTGTGTAGATATGCTTGATGCTTTTACCTCATCAGAGGCCAGGAATTTCTCAAAGTGGACAGTTCCTGGTCTGCAATTTGAAGTCCCAGTAGCTTGGGCCTATTCCTCCTTGAAAGTCAGGGCCTAGTATTTATGAGAACTTTTATTTTACTAGCTTTGATAAAGATAAATCATAGCACATAGCTTGGTACTCATTAAAAATGGTACAATCTGTTCAAATGCCATTTCTGGACAGAACATTTCATAAAACTATTCCAGAAGATTGTCTCAAGACAACTTTTCCAAAGCCCATTTTTCCAAATGATGAACTCTTGGCAATTACTATTTTTCATGATTATACTTTTTTTTCCAGATGACCCAGGAATCTGCACATCATGCGTTACGAGGTATTACATGTAAGTCTGGCCTTCTTTTTCATAGCACTAACTTTTCTACAGTTTAAGCATTACCTACTTAACCCTAAATCAGTGATTACAAGAGGGCCTGCAGCCTGCAGCAGCTCTGCCCTGTCAGGCTATTAATGGACAATTCTTGGATTTAGCAATAAGAGCCCAGCTGTTTTCTTGCCTGGAAAGGAGACCTTCGCTTTTTTGGTCCTGGAAGGCACCCAACTTGACACTGGTGTCTAGGAATCTTGCCATGGGTGACCAGGATTCAGACCTTGCTGGTTCTGGACAGATCTTAGTAATAGACCCAACACCAGGCAAGCTGTTTGCAGATGTATGCATGGAGACCTTGTCCTTAGTAAGAGTTGGGTGGTCCAGGATGAAACCAGGTGCTACATTAGCTCTCAATCATCCCCTGGGTAATGAAAGACATAGACCACTAAGTTAAATGAAACACGGGTAACCATCATCCCAAAGTTCTCTATTACAAATCAAGCATGGCATGTCTTAACGTCACCTCCCCTTCCCAGTCTAGTTTCCCTTCCAGGGAAAAAAAACTAAGAAAGAAAAGAAGGGAGGACCAGATAATGCATAGGCTACGTAATCCCTCCCTATCATCCTAAGAACTGGAGAGTTTTGTGATAAACTCTCACGTCCATTTCTTCTTTTCATCTTTCCAAAAACATTGTCAGGAACTTGGGATCGATGTTATTCTCCAGAAGGAAAAAATGAAGCTCAGAGAGGCTATGGGTTCTCTCATGAAGCACCACAAGCTAGTGGGAGGGAGGGGGTGTCTAGATTTGGGTCACCTCAACTTTAATGAGCTTGATTCCAAAGGGCTTAAAATGTGGTGGTGGGTGGGAAGACATTAAAAGGGATGAGGTGGATGGCAAGGAAAGGGAAACCTAACAAGCTGAAACATATTAAGAACGACCAGTTAACCTTATTATTACTTAACCTTATGGTTTTAATTCAACTATCCCAGAGTAGCCTATTATTCTCTTCCCTACTGATTTATTGTTCCATTTAAACAGGGGAAGTGGGGTGGAGAAGAGGGCCCCAGACTTGATTATTAGAAGATAGACCAGATGACAGTAAATGAGCAGAAAGAAATTTGTCAGCATGTTCATAGTTGGCATTTGCCCAGCATATGGCCTGCCACAGACACCCCAAGCAGAGATGAACAGCAGAAATGCAAGCATTCCTTGCTGAGGTCACATGGTTGAGGACACAAACTGTTCCTTGAAGAACCAAGGCAGGACCAAAAGAAATAGTGACCGTGCAGAAGTGGGTGAGGAATACTCCTCTTTGTCCCTATTATGATTCTGTGTCCCTCCAGCCTAACTCTACCCATCTTCATTTTGTCACCAAAAGACACCCCTTGATCTGCACCTCCTTCCTCTGTCACCTGGCAGCATCTTCTGTTAAAGTTTGGAGCCAGCCTCTCCAGCCTCTCCAGCTCACCACTGCCCACTAATGAGCATATTCCATAATACCCTGTGAGCACCAAAAACAGCAGGCTCTCCAATAACATTGTGACTTTCAATGTCATTGCATTATAATGTTGATGAGATGCTGTTGGAACTTAACTCTTGCCTCTAGTATCAATTAGCCTATCAATTAGTATATTTCATTATACATCATTTCACTTGAAGTCGCAGAACCTCTCAACCACATTAAGGGCCTACTGTACACTGCAAAGAATATGTCCAATATCATGAAGGTAAAACATGTGATATTTATTTCAAGAAACACACATTTATAACCCTTTAGAAAATTTAGTGACTCTGAATGCAGCTAATAAAACACTCTGCAATAGAAGTTGGTAAGAAATGCAAAGCCTGCCTCTGATATATTGTTGATGCTACAAAATTCATCAAAGGGCAAAGATCAATTTCATTCCACTCCCCCTTCAAATGAGCCTATAATTCAGTGTAGGATGAGAATAATGGATAGTATGTGTAGAAATATGTATGCATAAAAGCTAAGGCACTTTGATAGTGATGTCAGTAATCTGGTCACAGACATTTTGGTAAGCTACTTGAAACCAACGCTGAGCTGTTTCAGACCTTGCAAGTGCCATGTGGCAAGAGCACACAAACAATCTGTTCAAACGGACCTTGGTTAAATCCAAGTCCCACCTTTAACTGCTGGGGTCCAACCCCAGCAGGTCCAGGGGTCCCCAAAGGTGTGGACGGAGTCGGCGAAGAAGGAATGACACGGAGACAGCGTTCAGTTGATCAGCAGCCTTGCCAGGATCTCTAGCCACAATCTCCAGCCAAGTTCTGTGTCCATGTTCTCTTGCTAGGTTCTCCAGCCACGTTCTCCAGGTTCTCCAGCCAGGTTCTGTAGCCATGTTCTCTCACTAGGTTCTCCAGCCAGGTTCGGTCGCCAGGTTCTGTAGCTGGGTTCTTCAGCCAGGTTCTGTGTCCATGTTCTCTTGCTAGGTTCTCCAGCCAGGTTCAGTCACCAGATTCTAGTCAGGTTCTCTTGCCGTGTTCTATCCAGGTTCTGTGGCCAGGTTCTGTCACTTTTTTAAGAGGTTTTATTCCCTCCCTAACTTCAGGGGAAAATCTCTACCTGGGGAAACGACCTTTCTCGGAGAGGTGACCTTGGTTAGAACACATAGTGCCAAGAAGGTGAGAAAATATATTAAGAACAGTATGCCATATATGCCAGGTCCCTTGAAACAGCAAGGATGGACCGGCTCCCGGCATTTAACTACCTATGTGACTTGAGTACTTAACTTTGAGACTCAGTTCCCTGATCTGAAAATTAAATATAATAGCTACCATATGGGGATTGCATGGATGTTTAAATAGGCTAATACTTGACACATAATCACTACTCCATAAATAGCAGCAGCCCTGTCCTTCTCCCCAGCCTCCTCTCAGCTATCCCGATAAGGATGCTCTGTGGTCCAGAGAGAGATGAGTAATGACTTATGTGGAAGGCACACACAGACCAAGAGGAAGTTTTCTCCCTTGAAACCCAAATACCTACACTTGTTAAAAACTATGCATAGACATACAAGAGGAGATTAAATTATGGTGGTTAAGAGAAATACATCAACATAGTTCATGGAAGAAACTCCATCTTCTCCCCTAGGTTTGAACATCACTGCTACAAATCCTGCCCTGAGAAGACCTACACTGAAAACTCTGAATGCAAAGCGTGCACTGCCAACTGTGACATCTGTGACCAGAATGGGTGTTACTGGTGTGAAGAGGGCTTCTTCCTCCGGGGTAAGCCTGACAGTGGCATTGAACAAAGTCAAAACAGGGCTCCAGAGCTCCACCAGAAAGAACATGGCTGGGCCCTAGCCATGTTGGTTCAGTGGTTAGAGCATCAGCCCACAGACTGAAGAATTGAGGTGTGATTCCAGTCAAGGGCACGTACCTCAGTTACAAGCTCCATCCCAGTAGGGATGTGTGCTGGAGGCAACCAATCACTGTATCTCTCTCACATTGATGTTTCCCTCCCTGTCTCTCCCGCTCCCTTCCACTCTCTCTATCAATGGGG